AAGATAGATTTTTTTATCCCTAAGAAAATTTTAATTATAATTGAGTTTATTTAAAGGCAGAGCCATAAATTGTTCATTAAACCACTGTTTATTAAAAAAAAAACATTGTTTTCTCCCCCTGCTGTAAAATGAATGAAACTGTGACTTCAAAACTGAGGTACAATTACACTACTAATGTTTTCATTAATATTATGTATATAATTAAGTATTATGTCTAAAAATAGCCTGTTATTAAAGTAGCTAAAAATGTTCCTAATTTAAAAAGGCACTCATGTCTTACTGTCACAGTTTCTGTTAATTTGGACTTTGTTTTATTTTTGCACTGTTTCCCTTGTTGTGTTGATTGTATTATTCTGTTCAGGTGTGCCTAGTTAATCATCCTTGTTCGGTCTGAGTACTTAAGTTCCTGTATGTTCACTTTGAGTTTTTCTGGTCTTATGTCTACATGTCTTAAATGTTGTTGTGCTACATTGTGTTTGTTTGGATTTACCCTTGCTGGATTTACCCTTGTTGGATTAAAGACTAATGATATATAATCTTTCATCTTCGTCATGCGCTCTTTAATAGTGATGGCGAGATGAAGCCCCATGAAGCATTGAAGCTTTTCAGCCAAGTGGTTCACAAAAGGGTTCATTTGAGGGAGGCTTAATTTGCTCACAATACCACCTGGTGGCCAAAGAGTGTAAAACAAGCAGATACATTACAGATGAGCTGATGTGGTCTGTGATACACTGTATTTTGCGCCAGTTAATGCTTAGAAATAACGGTGAAGAAAAAAAAATACATTTCCACATAGACTAATCTGTTTATATGAATATAATGTGCATTTTCTAGTGGTATATAATTATTGTATAACATAATATAACATAACTGTGTAATAAACGTATTGGCTTGAAATGAATGGGGCTATCAAATGTGTGTAAATCAAGTCTTTGCTCATAATAGGCAGGAGGGCCAATATTATTAGTCTAAACCTGGAAAGTGGCTGAGTGTAACAGGGCAGAGGACCGTGAATTTACAAGATTCGAACCGCTTCCTGAACCAGTCAGGCCAAGCGAGGCTTCGGATGTCATCAATGACGTCATTGCTCTAAAGCGATACAAGCCTCGATATGCGTTTCACTGAAAGCTGCAGGGATTTCTCGACACACGCTCCGAAGCCTCGGCACAGAACGTAACATCACTACTCTTTAACACAGCGTAGCTATGACACTCACAGACTTACTGTGTAACAGTAACAGTATGTGTTACTGTAAACAGTTTTTAAAGTATTGGAATGTGTCTTTGAATATTTATCTGTGACATTTTAATTGCTGCTTGTGCAAAACTTGGGTCAGGATGATTTTATCAAGTAGGGCACATTTCTGGAACTTATTTGAACATTTATGGAAGACATTTTTAATTTTCTCTTTACAATGTTGAGTATTGTTGATGAATAACTCACTTAAGGCTTAGTGTGGCCCAGATAATGTATATTTATGGTTTATTTAGTTCATTATTAGCTAAAATGTGGCTGTGTAGTGGCCTGCTTGTGGACCACTGCCAAAATGCCACCATTCCATGCAGCATGTGGGCCCCATGAGGAATGTAGGGAAGGCTAGGATAATGTATATTTATGGTTTATTTGGTTCATTATTAGCTAAAATGTGGCTAGTGAGTGGCCTGCTTGTGGACCACTGCCAAAATGCCACCATTCCATGCAGCATGTGGGCCACATGAGGAATGTGGTGAAGACCAGGGTTAGAATAAAAATAAACTGTGGCCCACATTAGGGCCAGTTTTGGTTTATTTGGTTGGCTCACATGCAGCAATGCTAAGGCTTACTTGAGGCCCAAATCTGGCTAACAGAACTGGACTGCCCAAATGCCATTATTCCACGCAGTACAGTGGGCCGGAGCAAAGTGTTGGATCTGGGCCGGATCTGGGCCAAAATTAAAATAAATGTGGCCCAGATTTGGGCCAGTTCTACTTTATTTTATTTATTTATTGTCATGGCTGACATGCAGCCTTCCTATGGCTTGCTTGTGGCCCAAATTTGGCAAACAGGAGTGGACCACACAAATGCCATAATTCTACATAGTATGTGGGCCAGAACAAGGTGTTAGATAATAATAATAATAATTCCTTACATTTATATAGCGCTTTTCTGGGCACTCAAAGCGCTTTACATAGAAGGGGGGAATCTCCTCAACTAGCATCCACCTGGATGATGCAACGGCAGTCATATTGCGCCATCTATTACAGATCTGGGCCATATCTGGACCAGAATTAAAATAAATGTGGCCCAGATTTGGGCCAGTTCTGGTTTATCTTATTAATTTATTTTCATCGTTGACATGCGGCCTACCTGTGGCTTGCTTGTGGCCCAATTTTGGCAAACAGGAGCGGACCGCCCAAGTGCCATCATTCTTCACAGTATGTGGGCCGGAGTAAGGTGTTGGATCTGGGCCAGAATTAAAATCGATGTTGGCCCAGATTTGGGCCAGTTCTGCTTTATTTGGTTTATTCATGGCTGACATTGAGCCTTCCTTTGACTTGCTTGTGGCCCAAATCTGGCAAACAGGAGTGGTCCACCCAAATGCCATCATTCTTCACAGTATGTGGGCCAGAGCAAGTTGTTGGATCTGAGCTGGATCTGGGCCAGAATTAAAATCAACGTGGCCCAGACTTGGGCCAGTTCTGCTTTATTTGTTTTATTTATGGCTGACACTGGGCCTTCTTTTGGCTTGCTCGTGGCCCAAATCTGGCAAACAGGAGCGGACCGCCCAAATGCCATTATTCTTCACAATATGTGGTCCGGAGCAAGGTGTTGGATCTGGGCCAGCATTCAAATCAATGTGGCCCAGATTTGGGCCAGTTCTGCTTTTTTTGGTTTATTCATGGCTGACATTTGGGCCTTCTTTTGGCTTGCTTGTGGCCCAAATCTGGCAAACATGAGCGGACCGCCCAATTGCCATCATTCCACGCGGTATGTGGGCCAGATGAAAGTCTCAGGTGTGGGCCTGATCTGGGCCTCAGGAATTTTGCTATCTGGGCTTCTGGTAAAACACAGCTTGTTGGTTTGTTTGAAGGTCTAAAACTTTTTCTAATTTATTTTATAAATGTCTATGGACAAAATACATCAGGACCCATGGCCACTGCAAATGTGTGTAATCTCTGCACAAGTACAGTATTTATTTAAAATACTTTAGTCAAACATAAAATTCTGTCTGGGGAGTTTGGCACAGGGGTTAAGGCCTTGCCTACTAATACTCAAATGAGCTACAAAATGTACAATAAGAGGATGTGTATGAATGCACAATAAGATGATGTGCACTGCACAATATGTCTACAAATGCTAGCGGACAAAGTACTGCACCCATTAAATAACTGTGAGGCATTGATTTCAGTTTAGGTTAAGCACTGTACATATGCAGCTGCATCATAATTCTGATCATTTTTGTCTGTTGGATCATGATGTCGTCAACTTCAAAGTACTCTCAGGTTTCTGAGGTTAGAAGATCAGCAGTAAAACAAACAGCATGCTGGGAAAATTACTGAAGACAAGGAGAACCCTCTTCAACCCCCCAGAAATCAACGGGATAGAAACGTCACCATGACTACCACAGAGAAAAGGCCTTTTCCCAACCGCATAATATGAACGAACATTTCCATCTGTTCAGTGGTTCCTCAAAAAATACAAATCAAACATGACATGAAAAATGAAAGGTCTGGAACACATGAGAGGATCCTGACATTCTTTATCCTGGAGAACAGCTGAAAATCACTTGGAATTTGTTTTGCTGTAATTTTAGGTTAGGTTCAGGTCATTTTTAAACTATGGGATTTGTATAAATGTGTGTGTCATGTACAGGTACTCACCAGGGTTGCCTTTTCTTCCCCGTTTTCCTGGAGGACCTGTGAGCAGAGGGTAACAGATGGTGAATTGTATATATTTAATAACACTTTCTGATTTTGATTGGTCAATGACCACTACAGCTGTGGTCAAAAGAGAGAAATTTCAGTGAAATTTCACATGCAAAAAATTCCATCCATTTATTGTCAATAGTGTAGTGATGTATGAGGCAACATCCACACAGAGGTCACTGTCAAACCAAGCAGCTTTCTGTTGGTCAATGTGGCAAATTCACTTGACCAACTTGAATATGAACAAAACCTATGTGGGTACCCAGAGAGCAAGCAGTGTCGGCTCAGATCCGGCCCACATCTGGCCCGCATGGATTTCACATGGGCCAGATGTGGGCCGGATCCGGGCCAAAACTATGTTGCTGTCTGGGTAACTTTCAGAAAATGTTGTGGTGCAATGGTAAATATGACCGATTGAGTATATGTGATATAAACTCTTGTCTTTAGCAAAAGGCTGTGCAGATATCAGTGATCCCTTCCTCAATGTGAGAGGAACACATCCTTTTCTACAAGCTGGGCTGATAGTTCTGGTGGAAACTTCCATGGGAGTCGACCCCCCCACCCCCGGAAGTTTCTAGCAAAGCCACTGGAAGCAACCTTTAGCCAAAAAAGCATAACGGCTAATGCTATCCCTTCCGCTTTGGTGGTACGCAAGGAAGGAGACCAGAGGCCATTTTGTTTGAATGTATGTCAATGAAGGAGAGGCTTCACTATGCTGAATAAACAGCTTTTTTGAGGAAACAGCTTATCATTTAATGAATCGACAACCTATCGGCTAATCTTCATCATGTTTTACACGAAACAATAGTTCTGGATTGAACTGTTTTTAGAGTTTACACTGAAAAAAAAATGTCGTTTTCTAAGAGAAGTCACAGACTTTTTGTCAGTGGCCCTCCAAGAACAGGTTTGGACACCCCTGGTCTAGACAATATAAATTTGTAATTTAAGATGCCACCACTAAAACACAGTGAATAGCAGGATTATTTGCTATTTCATAATCAGAAGCTGCAGCCCCCAGTTGCCAAACAACTGGGTGTAATAAAGATGTTTTTCCCTTAGACAATACTGTACACATTGTTCCTTTACTGAAATTAAATTATTCTAATGCACACAAGGTTTTATTTGTAGGAAAAAGACATGTTTCTACCCTGAACCTTTGCAACAGGCCGTGTTAAAAGGTGAGGCATATGAGATTAATTTAATAAAACTTGATGATATTACAAAGTCTGAAAGATATTTGTCATCACATCATGCAAACACATGATATTTGGTGCTAATTAGCATTTCACACAAAAAAGATTGAAAATGTGAAAATGTTTCATGAACTGAATGACTGACAGCCATAATGTCTGGTTTTGAACATGTGAGTGTCATATGGAAGACATTTTGCACACTCTGCTCTACGATCTGTGGTAATCTATACCAACACCCTTATAATGTCTCACATAAACATCGGCTCCCCTCCACAGGGCATAAGCTGGGCGTGGGAGATTTATCACAGGGAAAAGCTGGGTCAGGCACTTTTTAGCTTATGCGTCTTTAACTGTTGAAATTACCCTTTTCAAATATGCTTGGAGGTAGAGTTCACTTCCTGTTCTCCTAATTGAAACAACCATAATGCTTATCATCAAGTTTACATTAAAACCCAAACTGCATTAACCAAAACATGCTGGTTTGCAAAACATACAAAGTAAGAATTTAAACATCTCAAAATAAAAAAATTAAGCCTGATCAGTAAACATGATGGTGGGCAATTATAGCTTACTCATTCCAATTCAATGCCCTTGCGCTTGATCATTTTAGTACACTCTTATCTAAAGAACTGCATCCATAAAAGTATACAAAATAAATCCTCATAGTTAAAAATAGACGAGAGATTTTAATGTAAAACCCGATGTCTGATCCAAAAGCCTGTATGTTAAGCCCCTTTGATACTATGCTCTATAACAGCTCTTCAGAGATGCACTACAAATCCGCTGGTTCATCCTCTAGCCTAACCTCCAGCACGCTCCCGAAAAAAAGCCTCCTCACGCTTCCGTCACATACACAAGCTTAGCAACATTAGCAACCAATGCTGCTTTATCTAAACCCAGACTACATCAAAATCTAGACTACTTCATGTACACTTCTGCACTTTACAGAAGTGTATATCTAAGCAATAGCATGCGCAAGAATGCTGCTGTTCCAAACAGCATGATTACAAGTATGATTTTATAAATCATTCCAGCAAACAAACCAAAAAAATATAGAGAAACATTTTATACACAAATATTGTCAGGTACTCAGTTTTTGCTTCACCAACGAAATTAGTCTAAACCAAGCCAATGCACTAATCAGGTTGAATCAGGCTCTTCAGATCCGAGTCCTTTCAAAACCTGAATGAATTAATAATAATTAATTCCCTACAATTAAGTAATCAAAGTCATTACACAGAATTTCTCATTGGTTGAGTAAACTGGTTGAGTAAATGGCTCAATGACTGTGCCCAAAATTGCCCCCTATACGTTTAGTGCACTATTTGATGGCACATTATCGAGTACACTCATTCCATCCCACAATGTATCTCAATAACTATCCACTAGTGAATACTCATTCACTGTCAGCGTTGTGTCAAATGAATTATGTCTACCAGAAGATGGCATCCCTAGCACCTCCAGCGCACTTGTTTTCATTCACTCATTTGGTAGACTAGTATATGTATAGGGGCCGGGATTTTTGATACATCCAAAGACTTGTTCATAAAGATGGTGTCTTGTTTCTTAATGCTCATAAAGACGGTCTTTTGTTTCTTGGTTTTTAATAATTGGTTGAGTGAATGATTCAAAGACTCGCTCATGAAGGTGGTTTGTTCTGAATGAATCTGTGTTTCTGAATGAATCATTGACTCAAAGACAGACACTTGTTGCCACCTACTGGCGTAACAATGTAAAACTACAGAAAAAGTCATCAAAAATGGCTACCTAACGCAAAGAATCATAATTTAAATCTAAATCTGTTTCATTAAGTGCAATACAATGAACCTGAATCAGATCTTCAGTATTAGTATTGGACTATGGATCTCATCAGAGTCACACACAAAGCATTTGGGTCATTCACATATCCTGCAGCTACAGCCAGTAACTTTAAATGCAGCAAGTTAATAAGTTAATGAAATCCGGCACATTCATGCAAGACATTTCCTTCATGAATGCTTTGAGAACAACATGACTGCACTTAAAAAGGAATCAGCCCTTGATAACATTTACACCTAGCTTTTTAAAAAGACTTAACGTTAATTAATTCCTTAACACATTGATTGCAAAGTATTGTCAGGTGCTTGGATAAGGGGTTGGGCCCTCCATCAGTGTTGTATTAGGAGCGGCCTGAGAGTGTGTAATTAATGGGGTCTTTTATTCTGAATTCCTTGGGCATTAATTGAACAGGTGTTATATGTTAAGACGTTAATTTTTAACACCAGAGAACAGGAACATTTGGCAGTAAGGGCGTGAAAAGAGGGAGGAAAAGCCGTTAATTGCCCCCTCGTTATCCACCCACCCACCCAAGATCAAATTCAGACCAGACTGAGATGAAGACGGCTGATCCACATCTTAAGATATCAAGGCTCTGCTGCAGAACGCTGCCGCCAACACCAACCAATAGTCTCAATTGTTACAACAGAATCTGTTCTACAACAGAATCATTCTCTCCTTGAACCACAGATGTGCTTTAATATGAAACTATTTTTCTTGGTTACACTAAAAAACAGAAAAGTTACAGAAAATATACTTTGAACAGTGTATATAGGCCTACTCAATGTTCCCTCTAATTTGTTTTCTTGCTGAGCAATACTTTTCTCTATTGGGCGGGCATTTCGGCCACCTGAGCAAAAACATTCTTTATACCAGACCTGTACAGCGCACACACAAAAAAAGTGTGTAGCTTTTAACTTTAATGTGCTATTTATATTTGATTTGACCCTTGATGTAACTATATAATATAATATAATATAATATAATATAATATAATAATAAAAATTCTATAAATATTGGGGAAAAAAACGAGAACGTGAATTCTTTTACAGTTAGGCCCTATCTAAAACATCCCCATGTAATAGAATTTGCGGACTACACCGGTGTGTGACTGTAAATGTCTCGGAGTTTTGTTACCGTTCTGTGTCCATCATCCGCTATTTCCACCACTTAATCAAGCCACTCTTCTCTAAAACATGATGACGTTTTATTTCACATGTCATTGCGTTTGCATTGGCTCTCATGTTGAGCTATTTCGTCCACAACCATTAAAGTATTCGATTTCTACAGCGACTGATTTGGCGCACATCAGTTCTATAGTGAAACCAAATCTATAGCAGTTTGCCTGAGCATTGCAATTATTTCGCATTTACTAGAATTCAATCAAATGCCTTTCCCAGCTCATTTTTTCATCTGTCCTGTGCGTGGCGCATTATTTCTTCTGCGTGGCCGCACACGCACACAGCTTAGAGGGAACATTGGGCCTACTATGTAATGAAGCATTTGTGAGAGTACACTAATGGTAGCGTAGTGGTAGTACACTTTTCCAATGCTATTACTGATCTACTGGAAATAAAGATCACAGCATCTGATTCAAAAAGCATATTGTTAAAAAAAATTTAGTTAAACAAAGATCAAAGACTGGGATGAAAACCATGACTAAATTAACCATTAGGCCTATCCGCAAAGAATAGAAGACTTAAGATTTATACAACAGCGATGGCAGATGTTCAAAGCACCTACCTACCAGGACTAATATGCATCCCTTTCATAAGGTCTGCCTATGGAATATATAGGGCAGGGGTGTCCAAACCCATTCCTGAAGGGCCAATATCCTGCAGAGTTTAGCTCCAACACACTTGCCTGGAAGTTTCTAGTGAGTCTGAAGATGATATTTGGTTTAGGTGAGTTCAGTTATGGTTGGAGCTAAACTCTGCAGGACAGTGGCCCTCCAGGAGCAGGATACTGAATTTAGTCACATTA